TCTCTCTCTCTCTCTCTCTCTCTCTCTCTCTCTCTCACCCAAAGCAGGCTGGGTACCTCCAAATCTCCTTATGGTCTTTGGCACGGCCAAAGGAAAACATTGTGCGGCTGCTTCGCATTTCGGGCATGGGGGGAGTGGGTGTTTTTCGCACCTCATGCGCCGTGCGCCACATGAGCATGACTTTCCCGCATTCGATGCACCACAGCTATGATTTAGAGTTGCATCATTTGTCCATTGAACTCTATTCTTTATCATCCATTCTGAGATATGAAGTTGGCTCCAGCCATAAATCTAGGTTCATGCTCTGGTTCTTTGAACTTCTTTCAATCATGGTCGTAGGCGTCTGGACTCTGTATCGTGAATCGGTTTGGGCCTCCCAGCCTCCAAACCTCTATAGTTGGCGCTGTTTGACCCTAATCCTCCACTAAGGGTGATGAGCTTCCCTACATAATTTCTAATATCTGACTGTATGATCTCTACGGAAGGGAATGTGCAGTAGCATATGTATACCTTTCACAGGCTTTCAGATTGTCTACGTGGTCGGCTCGAAAATATGAAATTTCCAAGTTCAAGCCCCGATGGGATCATCAGATGATTTCAGTATTGCAAGGGGCTAAGGCGCTCATAAAAAAGAAAAGAAAACCATTACTGTTGTGTTGTCCCTTTTTCTTTTTTTAATCCCTGAAAATTTAAAACAAGAAAAAACATTACTGTTCAACTGTGGTCTATTGTCATGAGGTTGGTCTGTTGTATGCTTTTGCTACATATGGTGTGATATTTTTTTGTCGACAAGCAGCGAAGCTGTTTTTATTTGAGTAATTACGCCTATTCCGGATGAATCAAATCATATTTGATTTGCTTGATCTATAATATTTCTATATGTGTGGGCTTTGCAGGTACCACAGCGATGTGGAAGTTTTCTCGGCCGTGGTAACGGGTGGGACGCGACTGAGTCCTCGACACCTGGCAAGGCCATTGCTTGTCCTTACAAGTACTGCTCTCTATGCCCTGGAATGCAGAGGATGTGCAGTGGTCGCACAACTGCCACTGACTGGTCTGGAGGTCGATGAGGATCCGGTTGAGATGGTACTGACAATTGCAGCAGGGGAGGAGGGGCAGTCGAGAGGAACTGTTGTGCAAGCTGATCGGATTTTTAGCGGTAATGGGGAGGAAGAAGAAGACGAGGGAGATGATGAAAGGGAAGGAGAAAAGTTTTCCAGTCAGCAATGGCCAGTACAGCTGTATGTTACGTTGGATCGGTTTGCGTGGACAGCTTGGCTGCCGGGATTAAGAAGATTGGTGACCGCCTGTCGTCGGAGTTGATGTGACTTTAAACACCGCTTTCAAAACCCAGACGCAAAAGAGTCGTGGCCTTTGTCGTTGCAGCCTGTGCTGCTGTTTGGGAGAAGAAAAAGACTGTCAGCTTGGCCTCTGCCTAACATCTTCCTGGAATGAAAAATCACTTGCAAGCCTCGCGACTTGACGCCATTGCAGTCCACGCCTGTGCATGTTGAGTGGTAAGTAAGGTGTTTGCGATTTTAACCCTGTAGAATGTAATGAAGTCAAGGGGAGTGATGGCTCACACCTTTGAACTTTGAAGTCAGTCGTTAATTGGCGTCGAGGGTAACAGAGTTTATCACATTCTGTTGGGCTGTTGGGTTGATCTTGCACCATTCCTCGGGCTTTACGTGAATAATTTGGAAAGGACGGGGGGGGGGGGGGGGGGTTCTTTACGATGTGTGCCACAGGCGAACGGTCGGCGGAGGTTGCTGTGACTCTATATGAGAACAGCTGTGCCAGAGGCTTGTGGCGACTCTGTACTAGAACGGCTGTGCCAGAGGCCTGTGGTGACTCTGTACGTGGACAGCCTTGCCAGGTATGACGGAAAAGGCTAGCTTGGAAACCCACCTCCATAGAGGATTGTGGATGCGGTGAGAATCTTCGTAGGGCGGCTTTGCTGTTCAAGAAGATTCTGGTCTGTGGTCTCGGATGCACACTAGCTGCACTAAAACCAGTCAAGAAGATTCTGGTTTGTGGCCTCGGATGCACGCTAGCTGCACTAAAACCAGCAGTCCCTTTCCTCAGCTGTTTTGTTACGACATGCTGGTTAACCCGCAGCATAGTTATCTGCACCCTTGTAGGGAAGGACAAAAAAAAAAAAAAAAAAAAAACGCTGCTTAGTGAGGGGTCGGGCTACTGGACAGAAAAGGCTGGCTGCGCTACGCAAAAAACAAAATATTTTGTCCCCATGGGCCCATGGTCTAGGGCCGCTTTGACTGGGTGAAACCGTGAAAGCACCAATAGCTTGGTTTATGGACTGCGTTTGCGCCTTTATAATGGTGTTCTTTTGTAGCCCGTATATTAATTACAATAATTGCAGAATTGAGTTAGTAAGTAGTCAAGGTGGTGGTTTCTTATCGTAGGGGATATAGCGAAGGCGGGGCCATCTTCCTTCTTTCTTTGAAAAGGGGAACCATTGTTTCCGTCAGGATTCGAACCTTCAATTTGTTCGGTCAAGAGTTTGCTGGCCTGTACCGAACAGCCACAGGAAGGTGTGCAGAGGATTGAATGCCCCCATCCACACCCCCACAGCCCATTAAAGAGCTGAGGATCTTCCAGGCCTCATTTCATGAATATTGTTGCCCCACATATTCTGTCGCGGAATTGTGCGAGTGGATGCTGGTCTTGAACCCCCCCTCCTGTCTGTGGCTGGTCAAAAACCATCGAGGCTGTTCACAGGATCGGAACACGACAGTGAGGCTGGGCAGGTTGTGTGGCTTGGGATTGTTACACCTTCAAATTGGAAAACAGAGGCCATTTGGCAGTGAGGAGAAGGGGAGGAAGGTGGCTGGTGCTTGGTCCTTGCTTGACTAGATGTCAATTAGGGTCTATTTGGCTTGTTCGTTGTGCTTTGATTCACTGCCTCTTGGACGACTCTGGTTTCAAAACAGCAGCCGAATTGCTGCGTGCGGAAGGAAGATGACCATCGTGTACCCCGTAACCCTATTTTTTCTGCCTACCCTACCCCCTCCAATGCAAGCGCAAACCACCAGTACTTTTCCCAGCCAATTTTGTTTCGACGCAGCCGTTAAACCACCAGTACCTACTGTGGTGGATGAATGTGCCTACTGCGTGGGTCTGCATTCATTCTCGTCAGAGGGGGCCTAAGAACCCGGTAGCTATTTGGGGGCTTAACACGCCTCACCCTCCGAGGTTCGGGCTACCGGACTGAAATGACTGGTGGTGCTAGGAAAAAAAAAAAAAAAAAAAGAAGGAAAATGGCTGAGGTGCTACCGGGGCATATCAGAAATTTGGCGATGAGCATGGACACGCACACACACACACACACACACACACACACACACACACACACACA